TTCCTCGGCAGGGCTGTGTGCGACTAGGCTTTGCTGCAGGATCATTGGTCAATACTACATATACTTGAGATTGTTAGTATGGTAACTTGAAAGGATTCGTGTTTTGGAGAAAGCATATATTTTTGGTCAGTTGGCATATTTCGACCAAGTCACGGTTTCCCGCTCAGCCGGATTGTTGTTGGTTCACAAAATGTCATTTGCATACATCTTTCACCATCTTTCACCATGTTGCGAGTCTGGTGTGTGTTGGCATGTACGTCTTCAGGAGAGCTATCGTCGTCTCTCCTTTCTCTTTGAGTTGTGACTCTCCGGTTGAGTACTGGTGCAGAACTAACTGCAGAGGAAACAGATGTTGCAATAGCTCAAAGCTTGTTTTTCCTCTTTTGTTCTTTTCCTACAGGTGTATGTTTGTGTTTTTCTCTCTGTACTTAAAGGTAGTGTAGTGCACAGTGGGGTGTTGGAACTTGTTTTGATGAACAAAGCCGCATGTTGGCCAAAAGCAACACTGATGAAAGGCTTGAGAGTGAAGTATCTTTTTTCGTTGGCGATGAGGAACAGTAGTTCTAAATTACGGACATACATTTGTTGAAGGTACACGCAACATTAGCATGTATTTGGAGTTGTGTTATTGGACTCTTGACGTACATTCCCGATCACTGAAATGTGGTGCTTAACGTTTCGCCTGACATCAAGACTCTGTTTGCAAAAACATAATTTAGATAAATTCAATTATTTCCCCCCTGCTATATATGTCCTCGTTACGATATGCTCCTGATTTTGAATATGTATTATTTTTCAGGACGGTGCTGAATAATTGTTTCTCTAACATGCCCTTGGTGGTTGTCCTGCCTCCTGGCTTTTGCAAAACGCCATCTGTTTTCAAAGTCAATCAAAACTCTTCGACCAAAAGACTTTTGCTGATAAATGACATCAGCGTTAATATTCACAGAGAGACCTTTGAAGTCCTTTGTCATTCAGGATTCAAATGATGGATGCTGAAGTAACAGCACACGATATGTCACTTTCAGGTCATTTATTCAATTCAGGACTGTCAAACTTTCTGCATATCTTTAATCATAAGCATACTGAATAGCTTAACCACCCAAGCGAAGGGAACACATGTTTAAATCCCAAATATTCTGCTTAGTTTACAGACAAAAAAAGAAATGAAAATTCAATTCTAAGGGGAAACGTTTGTAAATCCCCCAAATCGTTTTTCTTAAGCGGCTACCAACATGTGTCAAAGTGTCGTGCATATCCGAGCTTATGGTGTTCAGTACTCTGTGAAAGAAGGACGGGAGGACAGCTGACTTTCAGTTTCTGTCTTTTTATTCCCCCCCTGAGAGATTCACTGTGCTGGATTCTTGCATTGTTACATTCCAGCTGTTAAAAACAACATGTTTTTGCCTGTTTGGCCCGATAAAGTCTGAACGACGACAGAGCCAAATCCAGTCTGAGGTCACCTCAGCACCTTGTTACCCGCGATCCCGCTCTCCACGACGGTGCAGTCTCACCCAATCTCCTTTTGAACTCCTTAACCTCCCTAAGTGTCAGACGTGTGGACACACATCTCTGCCTCTGTAGACTCACCGGCCGACGTGGCGGCGCCCAGCGAGAGCCACTTGTTTTTAAAGGCCATACCTGATCTGAGCGCTGTCTGCCGGGCGCTTTGCTGTGAAGGTCAGCAGTGGGCGAACGGAGGGCGGACGTGTCAGCGGAGTCGGTGTGCTCTGAATACTTAGGAGCTCTATTGGAAACAACTCAAAGTGACTGTCAACACTGAGAATGGACGAGCTATTTGAGAAGAGGGCTTTTTTTTTGCTGGAAATGGATGCTTTCTTTAGAATTTCTGATTAAATAATGCACGCATTCAGAAGCAAAGTTCAGCGCTGCCCGACTTAGGGAGAGTCCTTTTTTGTTTCTGGGTTATTTGTGCATGAATACTAAAGAAGCCCTGCTTGTGTCCCCAAAAGGGCCATGCTTTACATCTTCTAAAGGCCAATAATAACTTGTCAGATATATTTATAATCAAATTCGGAGGACTAGTAATTTCAAATTGAAAAATATTCGGGGGTTTGGCTTGAGGATTAAGGCTACATTAACTCTTAATGCCATTCACACACACCAGTGTTTCCCCTAAAGGAGGAAGGGCGGGTGGGGGTGTTGCCACATAATAAACATAATAACAAGCATAATATCCCCTGCAGACATGTTTAAGACATTCACAAAAAAGACAACAATTTGTGTCTAATGTGAAAGATCTAATACACATTCGGCTTCACCCTCAGTCAATATATATGCAAATATTATCAATTTCAAAAGTTTAACAGTGGACCAAGATGTCTACTGCTTACTGATAAGTCCATTGCCATTCGGTGTATATGCACTGTAGGCTTCAGAGCATCACACTTGTGTTGAATATTGGACACAATCCACTTCCAAACTTGTCTTGTACGTACAAATTCTTCGTGACATCAGTTTTTAGAAACTCTTTTCTTTCGTTGAAAGTGGAAACAATCTTCTTCACCCTCCACAAATACCCGATTCTGTAAAGGTCCTGCAAAAGTCAAACATCCATGTGACGTTAAAATGAGTGAAGTACATTTTTGAGCGGAGAGGGACTTTAAAATTCAGGTCTAATAGCAGTAACACTTAAATAATTCAAGAAATAAGGAGCTCTTATATTAAAAGGGCATGTTAACAGTCTCAGGGCTTCACTGAGCCGTTATAATACCAATACCTTTACTAATAATTCATGAATAACTGTGTAGACAACCCCAAAGAACTTCTTAAGTATTAATGAGCACTGACTTCTATGCATAAAGCAAACATACGGGAGGAGTTATTACACCTTCATTAGCCATGATTGTTGAGTGTCTGGTCTGTGCTGCCGGTAGTCCATCACTTAACTGTGAAACGGTGTGAGAACCAGTTTTCATTGAGCTTCCAGTAGCAGGGCTCCGTGGCTGACAGATACACACGACTCTTTGGCATCCGTAATAACGTCCTCTATTCTATGGAATAGCTGTTTTATACCGGGTGTGAGAGCAAAGGTTAATGCAGTATGCGATGCTGCTTTGCTCTGCTCGTCTAATCCAGTCAGCTGTACACTGGCAAACCACTTTCTTTCAGTCAGTTAGTGATGACCCAATACTGCCAGTAATGACCTCCATGCTTTGTCACCACCACTCAACATATTATGCACAGTGTTTGTCAGGTAATGGAAATATGCAAATGTGGCATGAGAGTTGTCTGTATGGATTATCTGTCTTGTAAGCTGTTATTACACAGCTGTTTTGGTGTTTTTAATATATTTTCTGCTTAATTAATGTGCTGCCTTTACAAGGTCATTGTTTTCCCACATGATGTATTTTTTAATGGCTGAAATTCATCGCAGCTTTATACTCTCTCAATGCCTCGATAGATAGTGACCTGGATACGTTATCTGTTAATATTATTATAGGCAGCGTTTAAAAAGTGCTTCATCTGTAATATCGTAAAGGTCCCACGAGTTTTAGCCGTCATTTGATTTTCTAAAATTCGGGATCTGATTTTATATGGTATCAAGCATCTGTGTGTCACTTGGCTCATGGGGCAGTGTGTGTGACAGTGTGTGTGAGCTTGTCAGGGTTTCGCCTCACGTAGCAGATTCTTTATTGAATCGACTCCATGAAAGCTTCCAGTAGCTCAGCAGGAAATGCTTTCGGTTTACTGGAACGGCACCAATCACCAGACAATCCACGTTCACTTTTATATGCACCGACCACAAAGCCACATTTACCATTGCCATCCAGTAGCTGAATAATATCCTCTCTAATTATACTCTTATGTCAGAATAATTGATCCAATGCAAGCAGAACAATTCAATGTCCACAACATGTAGTTTTCGAAGGGAAATGGAATTTTTGTTTATTTCCAATCAAAGCTTTTGTTTCCCATCCAACTATTTAAAAAAAATAAAACAAAACTGCTCTGGCTTCTTTCCTTTTCCACCTCGTGTCACTGAAGAAAGTGCATTTGTGGCCCACCGTGACTGCTGACTATGTATTCTATGTATGTTTAACCCCTTTAGCAAACTATCAGTGGAACCATCTAAACGGCTGCGGGTGTTCTGAGGCTGTTTAGTGTCGCCGCTCAGCCAAGTAATGTTAGCTCAGCTTCTTCCTTTCATAGAGCTCATCAGCTGATTCATCCCATGGCACTGTGAGCCCTGCATTGTGCTCGCTGAACTGCATCTTTAGCGGTTTATCACACCACAGTTGCTTTGAGTATGTGCCGCATGTCTTGTCGTTGTGTCTGTGCTCCCTACTTGTGTTCACGTTAGTCTTAAAATCTGCAAGTTTTAATTTGTCAGTACGGCTGGAAAGAAATTAGTGCTGTGACCTCCCGTGACACACTGCTAAGGCAGCTTGGGACACAGCCATTCCACAATTAATAGTTAGTTAATTATGCTCCGTAACCTCTCCATCTTTGTTAAGCTTGACACATCTTTGACTTGTGTGGGTAAACCTCGGTGGAATCTTGTTCCATCTCCTTTGCAATTCTGAATCTTCTTCATCTGTGTAGTGCATCTTTTATATTAACTCATGTGAAAAGTCATCAACTATATATCTGACAGCATGGGTTTATAAATATATACATGCACTGCCAATGCGTCCAGTGCAAGAGCATGGAGGCTCATGATTAATTCATTAAAGAAGTCCCAAAACATTGTCTTCAGTGTACTCTAGCAACTTTGCATATTTTATTGTCCGGAGGCTGTTTGAAAAACACCCAAACGGATGCAGATCAGATGTATTTTATTGTGAAACCACTTGATACGTTCCTGCTGTTTGTGCATCAACATGTTTTCTAACCACGGTCAAAAGCTATGATACCCACGCACCTCTTCTTTACAGCAATCCACTTTGTCAGCCAGGCATTTTCCTGCCGGCATTGCTCTGAAAAAAACAAAAAGGAGACAGTTGTCTGACGGAGCTCGTCTCCCTCTACTCCTCCAGGTTTTGCAATCCTGCAGGCCATCATGGAGTCGGCCGTGGCCAATAACTGGCAGGTGACAGCTCGCTCGGTGGGAAACATCGTGGACCCCATGGAGTACCGACGCATCATTGAGGAGATGGACCGCCGGCAAGAGAAACGTTTTCTCATTGACTGTGAGGTGGGCCGGATCAACTCCATCCTGGAGCAGGTACTGAGCCGACACACACACACACACACACACACACACACACATATCTGGGAATAATGACCTAGAAACAAAATGTCTGTCCTTAAACACGTTTTAAGCACTGTCTTTCTTTCACTCTGTGCCTTGAAATTCATCTCCAGACTCGATAACACGAGTCACTCTCCTGGCTTTGTTTGTTCCTCACTATTCATTTATTCTTGGTTATTACCCTAAACACCTCGAGTGCATCGCGATTGCCTCGGATCTCACAATTCTCATTTAGAAGGTGATGTTAAGGCAGGCGGGACGGTAACACTCAATTAAAGGGCTGTTATTTGTTGTTTTTTGTTGGCATGTTGTTCGAGGTCACCTGGGCTCAATTCAGGCAGAGGAATTAAACAGCTTCCTCATCCTTGTTTCCTAGGTGATCATCAGCTCCAGTTTTCCCACATGAGTCTTGATTTCGATGCAGTGTTTGCTTGTGCGCACTGTTCACTGTGGCTCTACGGCGGAGAATACTTTATTGTCAGAAACCAGGAATTAACTAGGAATTTGCTTATTTAATCAGAAGACCATTAGAGACGTCTTTTTAAGTTTATTTGCGCATTAAAAAGATACGTGCAAGGATTTAAAACATTTTTTCTATAATGTAATGTAATTTTCTGTTTATAGATGGATGGTGATAATATGTAACGGGTTGAGTTGTACATGGAGGTAAGTGTGATAGAAAGGGGGAGGAATCGGGTAACACTTGAAAGTGGGACATTTAGGTTTGATTTATGTAAATATATCCTCGGCTTCACGCCAGCCGGACACCTAATAGACACCTAGGTATAAATCTGTCATTTCAACGCACCGCTTTCTTTAGTTAGTAAGACATTGCATGCTAATCTAAATTTAAAAGAAACAAAAAAATCTTTACACTTCATTTACTTAACCGTTATGGAGTTATGGAGAACTAAATATCTATACAGTTATATGTATGACTTGCATGCAAGTATAGTGAGCGACACAAAAGACTAAAAGTAGCTCAGTTAAATGCGAGACTGCTTCCTTCAGAAAAAACAGCACTCATCAATTAAATCAACCTACATTTTCCTGACAAGCAACATGTTGTGTCCGTGCTAATATCTGCTGTCCTCTCTTAGCAGAAAGAGTCATTATTATATTGTAGGGGAGAAAGGAATTGTTCTTAATGTCGTATCTACTGTTTGAACCATGGAGCCAATCTTTCCCTCACCACAACCAAATAGTTTTAACTGCGTTCGTTAAACCACAAACATCATGTAGAAGGATTCAAACCCACTCGTATGAGTTGTTTATGAGGTCAGTGACAAATGGCTTGTTTGTTTAGGCATAAGGACTTTTTGCCAAACAAAATGAGACGTTGTGCGGTTCCTTTTAGTTCGGTTCATGACCACTCGGCGGAGGAACGTGTTACAAAAACGATCACGCCCTCAGGCATGGTTTGTTTTCTGTGTTTGCTCATTTTAACCATTAATCCCGGGCACATCCTGACCTTCTGTTCTTTGCTGAGATATTTGTGTGTAAAGGCGCCTGCCCTCTGCGTAATGGTCTTCATTAATGCTGCCCTTATGAGTTTCACTCTGACCACTGCGGATATATGTCTTCATTTCCTCTGACACAGGGGATTGTTTTTGCCGAGAGCACAGAACATCTTCTTTGATTGAGAGAAGTTTGCTTTTTGCAGCCTTTTCCCGTAGATACAGAAGAGGTTTTTTATTTTTCAAATGTTCTTAAATTACCTCCGTATTAGATCCAAGTTATCGAACGGGATAATAGCGGCCACTTGGTGTCACATCAGGCCGATCCGATCGTTACCTCTTTGCGGCGTCGCATTAAAGGGAGCGGCGGCCTCGTAGGCACCATCTGTCAGACGTGTGTCTCCCCAGATGCTTGATAGCAGCGAGATGTGCCTGCGTCTCCCCCGGAACGATTCCTTATACAAGCTGTGACATCAACACATGCTTTAATGTAATATCACCTCCCAGTGTAAGTAGGACACACTGTCCCATAACAGCAACAACAATGAGCCTACTATAAATAGCCTACCGTCCTAGCTGGAGGGGAGATTTCTCACAAAGACAGGAGTGAGCTAACAACCGAGATCACTCAGGCGTCAGGAAGCAACCATCTTGGACAGGATTTTTTTTCTTTTTTACCAGTGTTTAGGATTTTACCTCATGAACGCCGTCTAAATTTAATCTTTTTTTATGCCAGAGTTTAATGGATCATTATCGTTGGCCATTAATTTATAAATTCATTTACATGCAGATATCCCACATTCATGTTATGATAATTACTAAGCACTTCAGCAGTGCTTTATCCGTACATAAATGTGCTGTGTTTTTTGCCTTTGAAAGTTTCCGTCTTCTTACGCCTTCACTAGAGTAAACACCTTTAGGGCTTCTCATCATTAATAGAAACACAGTTGTTTTATAATCGCTGCCAGAGGACCTCCAGCCTCCTCCTTCACAGTTGATAGACAACGCAGAAGAGTCCGAGAGAGAAAGAAGAGAGCTTTTGGGAATCGAGCTACGTAGTCTGAGACTCCCTGTCTAATACTGTAGAGGGAAATGGGACTGCTGAACACCCGGAGGTGCACTGGAGTTTTACACCCAGCAAGTCGCCGAGTAAAACAAGATTCTGCATTTGGGAGGAAATTACGTCTGTGTGGATCTTCTTTAATCCTGTGTGTGAATTGTGGGTTTGTATGTGGCTCTGCGTGGGAATTTGAAGGCTATATGACTCACGAATGGTTTCCATAACATAAATATTTTCTCAGAGGGGTGATATTTTATTTGCGTTTTGGGCCTAAATATAGAGTAATTTAAAGCATGACGAAGTGCTTCAGGCCACACCAGCAGCTGTGTGAAGGTTATATCTACTTCCCTTTAGTAATATTTTTTAAATGACCATGTTCAACATCCGAGTTTAGCCTGTTGAGTGGGATTTTCTAATTATTTTTTTATCATGTTCATCTAATAACAGTGGAACATTTCAGTTGCTCGACTCCTTAGAAATTGTAGTTCATGGGTCTTAAAGTCCATGCAAAAATTCACGGCACTTTTTGAGACATCTTTGAGACTCTTTGAGACATTTCATTTAATATCACACCATGACTGCTGCTAAATGTCATGGCAATCCATCCAGTAATTACTAAGATATTGTATTGTATTGTACTATTACACAAGTAGCTAAAAAAAAAAAAAGTAGCTAAAAATCCGGTGTCTGAGACGCAGGACTTACCGAGGTGTCAATTCCCCACAAACATACCAGAATAAGAGGGCGACTATCTGGGCTCAGACCTTCATTTCCTTTTTCTTTACTTCCATTATATACAAGAAAACATGGCTTCTGAAAAAAAAGAGTAACATTGTTTTGTAGAGTCTTCTTTGTAAGCGCTGGCACCCAAAGGACACTCTAGAGGAGTCTAAGCCTCTAAAAATGAAAAACAACATCAAACAGGCGTAAGCGGGCGAGTTGGCCAGTGTGCAAATGCAACAAGGACAGTGAGGACGTTACAACTTCACACACATTCTTTATTTTGTTGAAATTGGCACGCAATCAGAAGAATGTGTTTAGTGTGTAGCGGATGGCTGCTGGAACTGGAGGGACCGTCAGAGTGCACACAGTCCCTGGAAGACTGACCAAAAATACTATTAATTGATAATTATAATCCAACTATTTGAATTGTACTGAATCCATTTAATAGAAAATGTAGAGAATGTTTTCACACTTTATATCTATATCGAAGTATGACGACACTTCTTTCTTATTTAGAATTTGCAGACAGAGAGACAAAACTATTTTCCATTCCAAGAGTCAGTTCTGAGGAGAACAATGAAGCTTAAAGAGCATTATCGACACTGTTCTTTAATACAGTTTTTAGGCAGTTAAATTCATTCTCACATAATTTCCTTTTCCAGGTAACATGGCAATAATTAACTGGTAAAAGATGACAATCACCAACCTTAGAATGTCTGTTCCAGTTCGGAAGAAGGTAGATGACAAATCTCTGTATAAAAAGGGACGCCTTCGTCAGTGGGAAGAGAGTCAAATCCTCTTGAAGACACTTTGGCAGACATCCAGCTTTGCAACGGACTGTGGCTCCAGTCTGCTTCATTAGTGTCAATTCCCGTAGGAATATTAGAGGCCGATCATCCTACAGCTCAGCTCAGGCCTGCTTCAGGCGAGCAGGAGGAGCCCGGATGGACAAACAAAGTGAATTGAGACCTGTGACAACTGCTCCCCGTCTGTGCCCCTCATGTCTCCTCCACAGCATCTTTGTCTGATTACATCTTCCATAGAGATGAATGCTAATGCTCAGATGTAACACAAGTCAGTCTGGGGTTTTATTGGCTGGGGTTGGGATTGCATTGCGCCGGTAAGAGTTGAAAGATGTCGTTCCTCGTTTGAAGACCAGATACAAAGCTGGTGTCTGGGGCCGAAAGTTCAGAATAAGCAAAGAGGAAAGTATTAAGACTGAAAGTGGAAGCTGGTTTCACAGAAGAGGAGCTCGATAACTGAAGCCTCCGGCTCCCATCCTACTTTTTAAAACTCTAGGAACCTCAAGTAACCCAGCGTTTAAGGACGGAAGCTCTCTAGCAGGGTAATATGGTACGAACGGTTCCTGAAGATATGATAGTGCCGGACCAATTTGTGCCTTGTAGAAGCATTTTAAATTATATTCTTGATTTAATGGAGTCCAACTAATTGCCACTAATAAAAGCCAACACTATTTTGAGAGGTATTCAGCCTTCTTGGTAGGACTCACCGATCCACTTAAGCACTGCTGCAAGATCAAAACATCAGTTGGAAGTTAGTTCCAAGTAAGTAAGTTGGAAAAAGATGACGGGGCGCGACATTTAGACTCTTTCCATGCAACGGATATTAAAAATGTAGGAGCCGGTCAGTAGAATCAGTGCTGCAGGTTCATTCCCACTTTTAGGCCTCAAGTATTCTTTTTCCCCCCCGAGTTGTTTGAAGAAGCTGTTTTGTGAGAAAAGGATTTGGACAGAAAGCGAGATATTAGTTTTAAAAGTCCTAAAAGACAATACATGTTCAGGCCTCTCAGTCACGGTAGCGCCGGACCTCTTTCAGGTTCGTGGTTTGTGTCACTGACTCACAGAAAAGAAACCATCCCAGAGGACAGTGAAACTGGAGCATCAGGATCCCAAAACATTAGATATGCCCAGGTGCTTTTTTCCAGAACAGCACTGCCAACAGAGGGATGGAGCGAATCCCACACCAAGGATAATATGAGAATAATCATTGTAATGTACATGCATGACCTAAAATTATTAAGAACCGTGCTCAACCAATCAGATACTAACTATTCATGCTAATGCCGATTTTTTGTTGTTGAATTTTGCCACAATAAACAACTTTTTTTTTAAATAAATGAATTAAATAAATCTTGAATCTTGTTTGATTGTGGCTTGTAGTACTCACACTAAGCTTTGGTTCAATAAACCAAGAAACAAATGTGTTTATGACCTTTCAATATAACCTTTACCTCGACTGTTACACAGCCAAATACAATAGAAAATCCAACATTGCTGTGTGCTTCTTTTTGTTCCCTGTAGCATGACATGTTTGCAGTTGATTATTTTCTCACAGCTAAATGTGATTTCGGTCAGTAACAGCAGTTGAGGTGTCAGTTTTGGATGCTCATATAGAAGTGTGAAGTCTTGTGCTTTCTGCCTGAGTGTGCTGATGACAAAGTCACTCTGGGCACTGCAGCTTCATCGAGTGCTCACTGTGTTGCTGCACTCGGGTCACTGCAGCTCTGTCTCACGCGGGAAGCAAATTAAAAGCTTTTCAAGACAATTTGAATGACAATAAGCAGAAAAGGCTTCGAGGATATTTTGAGGAGGCTTATGAGGTTTTTGCAGGATGTGAGGGGGAGTCGGGGGGGGTTCTCAGTCTGTGGAGAGAGGTGAAAAATGTCGAAGACAATGAAATCACTTTGCCTTTCTCAAGAAGTTAATTGTATTTATTGTTGAAATTTGTCCCAGTGTATAAGCCGGCCGGGGGGCCAACCTTGGATCAAGGACGTTTCCCTCTCTAAAAAAACGGTCACGAGACAATAAGGGAGGAGTGAGCAGGGGAGTTACAGTCACAGGTGTGAATGGAAGCACAGGTGTGAAAGTACATGCACTGCATAAGAAACTGGGCAGGTTTTAAATCAAATCATGCCGGGCCTAAATAAAAAAATATAGAAATAGCACCAGAGATGTAACACGGGGATGCATGTTGTTACTCCGCTGTTGTGAATTTTCTCGGCTGTATAGAAGTGCTCTAAAAATGTTCTCCATGATATCACTGTCACTCTGGACATTTAACATTTAGCTGATTTCAGTGCCTGAGCACACTTATATCCAATCTGTGGGGGGGTGTAGAAAGTGATAAAACAGGGAGGAAAAAAAACGATCCACCCACACACTTCGTAATCTACGATGCAGAATCAGAATCGAGGGAGATATGGAGCGTGAAAGAGTGCGCGGACGACAGAGAGAGAGAGAGGTTTGGCTGGTGGAGAGGTTTTAAGAAATCAGCGAATGCTGCTCTCTCTGAGGTCTGCTTGCTCAGACAGGTGCTCTACAATGGTTTTGGTTTAATTAAGTCCAGTGTGCAACTGAGACAGGTGGAGCGTAAAGCTGCGGACTAAAGAGCTCAGGCCACAGCGAGAGGGAGAGAGAGGGAGAGAGAGAGAGAGAGAGAGAGAGGTTTGCCAGAGCCTTGACCTTATTTTACATGTTGAAGTTAATGGAAAGGAACAAGTGGTGTCATCACAGTTTGTCCCGTATCTCTGTGTGTCACACGCTCCCTCTCGCCCTGGCGAAATGTTGCCCCAAAATGTCTCTCTCTCATTCCTCTCTTTATACCAGCTACTCCGTGTCCTGAAATCAAAGGTCTTTGTCATTTCTGAATATCGCCCTTCAGAATGTTATGGGACGTTAATGTGGCTCATTGTGTGTGTGTGTGTGTGTGTGTGTGTCTCCTCCTGTGACTTGTAGGTGGTGACGTCGGGAAAAAACGGCAGAGGATACCATTACATCCTCGCCAACCTGGTGAGGACCCGCAACATGAAACAGCAAAGCTCAGAACACCACATCTCAATGTGATGCAACGCAGTTCAAAGAAATGCAACACTCTCTGTCGAGTAGTCAAACTTCTCAATGTACTGTATAGCGACGACGGACCAATTGACTGCAGTGATGAAGCAGAACCATGTAATGAAGCCGTTCTCTCTTTTGCTCCTAATGATTTCTTGTTTCACTACCAGCCACTTGTGTTCTTTGTTCTCAGGGTTTTTCCAACATGAGCCTGGACAGGGTCATTTCTGGTGGAGCCAACATCACAGGCTTCCAAATCATCAACCCAGACAGCCCCATCGTCCAGCAGTTCCTCCAGCGCTGGGAGCGCCTAGATGAAAGAGAATTTCCAGAAGCCAAAAACACTCCACTGAAGGTCAGCCAGGCATAGCGGCCGATGCTGCAGCAACATTTTATTAAACATCTTCAAAGACTTTTTTTCTCCTCCTCCAAGTTGTTTGGTAGTAACTCTGCTGCAACCTGAGAAAAGATGTCATTCTGATTGATTCCAGTAAGACATTGCTTAAATAACCTTGAATACCCGCATCTTTCATACTTGCGCAATTTTTCCGTCAATCACTGTGTCGATATGTATTTTTTTAACTTTACACGTGGGGGGCGCTGCTCTCTTTGTGTCAATCCCCCCCCCCCCCCGCTGCTGCAGACATGATGAACCGGCTGTGATAGCAGTGCAGTCAGCATGATGTGCATCACCGGGCTTTCTTGTGCCCTTCATCCTCAGTACACGTCAGCTCTGACCCACGATGCCATCCTCGTGATTGCGGAGGCCTTCCGGTACCTGCGGCGCCAGCGGGTCGACGTTTCTCGCAGGGGGAGTGCGGGAGACTGCCTCGCCAACCCCGCCGTGCCCTGGAGCCAAGGCATCGACATAGAGAGAGCCCTCAAAATGGTACGACTGCTTCAAAAGTTACTGATTCGCGTGGAATTTGCTCACGAGTTGTCGGCTAAGAGGAAGTGCCATCATTCTTTCCCCTGCCTGGCAGGTCCAAGTACAAGGTATGACAGGAAACATCCAGTTCGACACATTCGGTCGACGATCTAATTACACAATTGATGTGTACGAGATGAAGACAGTAGGGGCGAGGAAGGTGAGTGAGCACACAGCGGTGGAAACATCAATCATCATTTTACAATGTGTAATTAAACTGGATCAGCATGTGATAGAGATACTGGCACTGTGTGTTTTTATATCCTCTAACGTAAATACAGTTTCAAGCAGCTTTTTCTTGGCATGACGGCAGTAAAAAAGTAGAAAAGGTTGGTTCTGATGTGGACTGAAGGAAGCTGCCAGTAACCGGTCTTGCAAAGCCAGCTCTAATCGCGTGAGCTCGCGTCCCCTCTGAGATATGAATCTGGAAAAAAGAAAAAACAAGCAGTCACTTGAGCCTCAAGAAGCTGAACCGATCTACGTCTCTGGGGTGCAATTATTTAGAAGATGACATGGCTTGAAACTGAACAGAAATCTCTGTATAAACCACATGTTGCTGCTACAAAATGAGGCATTATTCTGCTACTTCAGGGACCACAAACAAATTTAGAAAACAATTACAGTTGTGAATTCAAAAGAACTTTAGTGTTTATGACAGAGCTGCTATGTGTTTACAGCTAAAATCTGCTGCTCAAACCACTGGCAGCTCAGCGAGTGATGCATCTTTCCAATCAGGTGTCTGAAGTGTTCATGCCTGAATGAACTGTCAATCGCCTGAAAATATCAGCAAGCAAATGCCAATGGAGTGTAGGCAGGCAAAAGGCAAAATGTAATACGCTGGCTTGCTTTGCAGGATTCTAAGTGGCTGATATGTGTAACTGTTATCTGTATCTGTTGATTTCTTTCGAGTTCAATCCATGTTTTCCTTAATAATATTAATAATATCACAGTAAAACTCTTTCTTAGACCTCGCTATAATGACGCTGCTAGGTGGCTTAGCAGCCCTTGTTAGGCAGCCTTTCAAGCTCCACTGCTCACAGCAGCATCACACCTTAAAGTGCACCTGAAATTAAATTGCTTGTTTATTTCATACTGCAGCATTGGCATCCGCTCTGTAAACGGGATGCCCTTTTTTGTCAGTAGTAGTCTATCAAAGCACTTATTTTCCACTTTATCTGAATGCATATCAGCCGTAGACACGGACAGACAAGAGCCAAGAACCGGGCGCCGCACACATTAGCTTTCAGCGTGTCCATTTTGTCTACAAGCCATGACACATTTCTTGTTCACTAACAAAACGCTATCCCGTCATTAGCTGTTAAAGCTCCAGTTAGCAGAGAGCGTTTGTTCACAAACACATGCATCGACCTGCCTCTGCAGAGGATTGGAGAAAAAAAACTCCGGTATCTCCACCGTCTTTCCTTTAATTATAAAACCATCAACAATCATAATTTCTTGATCGCTGATGGTTATATGACAGCGTACAGCAATCATTTCCGTTGGACTTTTACGAGGATCTAATTCATCATGTGACATAATGAGACGCTCACATGATGAATTAGTGCTGTAATTGGACTTTTTGTTCAAGCCTTAGGCAAACACATACACACATGCAGTCTGTGTGCAAGGTCTCTGCCCCGGGCCCCGCCAAAGCTTTCCCCCAAAAGGAGTGGGCCCTGTACTTTCCATGTAGTTCAGCTCTCATGGCAACACACATCACAGCGGGGCGCACATCAGAGCGAGACAATCTGCAGTGACCACAGAGTGAGTATCGTTCTGCAAACATGGGAGCCTTTGACTTGTTCCTGGCCAAATAAGTCCGAGAGTATAGAAATAAACGTAACGCAGCCAGTGGAATCATCTCAGGTTCAGTAGACACAACAGGCCAGTCTTTGCTTTTATATTATGTTGTACTGTGTATTATTAATAGAACAGTAGAAGATCCTACTACGCTGGCTAGATAAGACACATTCAGATCAGATTTGTCTTGCTGGTATTCGTTTGATCAGTCTTCGAGAGCTCTATTGTTGCTGCTTTCTTGTTATGTAAGGGAACACTTTCGTGAGCCAGGAATAGCTCACGCCTACCCTGCCGAAGTGAAGTCCAGGTGGAGTGATAAGCACCGCCACAAGCTTTTCACCAATCCCAACATCAGTCAAAACTAACGCCGTCTCCCGCTGTGCAGATAGAGCCAATCAACTCACGTATACTCGGAGGCTTTTCTGTGAAAAGGTCTCTGTCGTTCTCGTAATAACTGTGAACCTCTGTTTCCATTTCAGATCGGCTACTGGAATGAGTACGAAAAGTTTGTTTATATTATGGATCAGCAGGTCACCAACGAGTCCTCTTCTGTGGAAAACCGAACAATTGTGGTCACTACTATTATGGTACACTCTCAAGCAGGTTTTAAGTGTTTCACCATAAGATTTCTGCCACTCAAGGTCAAGGTGTCCATTGTTGCAATCTGTCCTGGGAGGGTAGAATTATTTCGTTTTGAGTTGCTTTCCATCCACTCACTACATGTTGAAACAGTCGATTCACAAAAGAGTGTTTCAACTGTATCCGTGTGGGTGCCAAAGCATTTTGGTTTTTTTATATTACGGTGGGCTGTTGTAGTAGTGACATCACAATAACGGCATTGGTAATGATAACTTTAACGATAGACGCCATGTTGTTCACATTCAGTGCATACGTAAGTAAACATATTTCCCTCTCATTAAGTAAACTGCCAGCGACGTCGGGTTAAACCAGCTGTGTCTCACCGGAGACATGAAATGATCTGCACACAAGGAGGACATAAACAAGCAAAGGCTGCAACCTTCGACTGTTTATCTCTTTGTTCAAATTCCCTTTGGCACTGAATTGTAATGTAGCTGTGGTAGGCCTTTCTAAGACCAGTGCTCCCAGTGTAGCAGGCCCAGGGTCAGACTAAGTGCTAGTTCTCTGTACGGACTGTTTTCACAGTTCAGTTATCATCAGCCCTTTTTAAATGTAAGATAAGGTGCTCCTTATCTTACATTTAAAGTCACGGCCTCTCTTTCCTTCTGACTTTGCCTATTGTGTTTTCATCTTAGACAAATTCAGAATGTAATAGCCACACATTCTCATTTCAATGTGGAGTAACTCATCGTCCTCATGACCAGGCAGGTAATACAACGACTGTGAGGAAGAGAAAACAGAAGAGTAGTGTCATTGCATTATTTTCTCACTGCCGGGCATGCCTTTGATTTGAATAAAGAACAAATATTGTTTTTAATACATCACAGTCATGTCACTAACTTCATGTTGCTTTTCTTACATTCCATAACTTTAGTTAGATTCCATATTCAATGAAAGGCCAGCCTGTTATTACAGGGTGCGACTCTTTCATTTAGCTTTTTTGTAACATTTTACATGACTGCAGAATGGAAGAGAGGATAAAGAGAGAATAGTGCAAACAACAAAGGAGCTACACTTTTGTATTCAGTGAAATAATCACGTATCAGTCTCCTCTGAAGATGATTGTTAGGGAAATAACCTCTGAAAAACATGTTTAAGCCCTTAAGAAAAGCAAATCTCCATTGCTGAATATCCAAAAAGGGATTTAATGGCAAAGATATTTTCCACTTTTGAGGAAAAACATGATATTTTATTGAAATCCAAGGCACAGAGGTGATGTGGAATAGCAAAACGACATAATCAAGACAACGCGCAGATTATTTTATTGTCATGATAGAAACGAAGAACCAGTATGACTATTTATTTTGTCATACAACTACTCTTCTGACGCAGCTCAGTGTTTTGTTGAGCTTGATATTTGTTTGATGTATGAACTGCTGTCACTGGCGTTTACTTCATGAACTGGAAAAGTGCTCCATTCAACTTTGTCCCGCTCCTTGTGTAACGCTGATGCAAAGCGCATGCAACCTCCGCCTACCATCCATCTTCACACATTCAGATTGCGGATGAGGTTTGCATGAAGGAGCCCCGACATCCTGCTTCGCCTCCTCCTGTACGCGTTAAATGCTTCGCTCCTCCCCGCTGCCCCATTTGGCCTCTTCACTCCAGCAGCGGCCTGCTTTCCCAAAATAACATGCACGTAACTGACGCTGCGTAGACCCCCTATAAACTCTGCTCTGTTTGGCTTTTTATGTCTCCCCCCCCCCCGTATCTGTTTGTGCGTTGCCCCAGCATGTGTGCATGCGTTCGGTACCAATCACGTCACACGCCTGCTGTGACCCATGAGGTGTGGCAAATGTGGATGTGTGTGTTTCTTGACAATGTACTTAAAATGATGTCTAATTAACAGGAAGCTCCGTATGTGATGTACAAGAAAAACTATATGCAGATGGACGGGAATGACAGATATGAAGGCTACTGTGTCGATTTAGCCTCTGAAATTGCAAAACATGTGGGGATAAGATATAAACTGTCAGTAGTCCCGGATGGGAAGTACGGAGCCAGAGATCCGGAGACCAAGACGTGGAACGGGATGGTGGGTGAACTGGTTTATGGGGTAAGTCTCAGTCCGCCTGTGTAGCTCATAAGGAGGGGGGGTTTAACTGTCTTCTATTGTTTCCTGCCACTTAACCACTGGTTTTGTTTTAAAGCATAGCAAATTAAATTTTGCATCCCCCACATTTTTATTCTCCAAAAAACTCAACTCAAAATAAACCAGTGATGCGAGATTAGACTATTAACAAGGAAATGTACAATCAATCTAAGTGGGCCTTTTTTAAAATGTACAAAATTGCCAGTATTGTATTTTTTTGGCAAGCGTCTTGTGGCTCACTCACACTTGAACTGGCTTTAACAAGATGATTTGCATCTTTAATGCGGCCTCAGCTGCTGAATGAATAATGTTGAGGAATCTCACGCGGCAGGCTGGAATTAAAACTAAAATCTGCATGCAAACAGTGATTCGGCGCAGATTTCTCTTTATAAACCTGTAGTTTCTGCTGCTGTGGCTCTTCTGTAGCTCTCTTTACATTGACAGCTTAAGCAGAAATAGATGACCTACGCCATATTCATTGCATCCAGTACAAATATTGGAAGCTTTTGGCTGAGACCCCCTAAAAACTCGATCTAATATATGAGTCCTTTGTTTTAAACATTTACATATTTTGATGTTACAAGTTACAATACCAACATGTCGATGCAAACTGTAGATACTAATAGTCTGTCAGACGTTTGCAAAAAGATCTGATGGAGGTGAATTTAACAGGCTGAGTCACATTTCACGGACTGCTCGCATAAGCTCCTCCACCTCTTTCTTCCAACCCTCCGTTTGATTCATGGAGGAGATTTGGACCAAGACAAAAACATTAGCCAACACAAATGCTGAGTGACTCATTTTTAAATGGCAGATATCCCTTTCACGGGCATTATCACACGTCTATTCAGTATATTCAGCTGACACGTTTGTGTTTGTGTCCAATCTCTTTACCACATGCATTCACTTTAAAGCTGAGCGCCTGATTAGAAGACAGCGTGACTCGTCTATAGTCATAGTTATTGCTCTGACTCTCAGTTTACCAGTGTTTCCGTTATAAGTCAATGTGCAAGCCTTGGGTTGGTTATTTGCTCTGTAAGACTAACTCCCAGTGTGCCTGTTCCTGTTTCTACAGAGAGCTGACATAGCCGTGGCTCCTCTAACTATAACCTTGGTACGGGAAGAAGTGATAGACTTCTCTAAGCCCTTTATGAGCTTGGGCATCTCCATTATGATAAAGAAGCCACAAAAGTCCAAACCTGGGGTGTTTTCCTTCCTGGACCCGCTGGCCTATGAGATTTGGATGTGTATAGTTTTTGCCTATATCGGCGTGAGTGTGGTGCTCTTCCTGGTGAGCCGTTTCAGCCCTTACGAGTGGCATCTGGACGAAAGCGATGAGGCCAAAGACCCTCAGAGCCCCCCAGACCCTCCAAACGACTTTGGGATTTTTAATAGCCTGTGGTTCTCCCTGGGTGCCTTCATGCAGCAAGGATGCGATATCTCACCAAGGTTGGTTGTTGTATTTACTCTCCACCATCCCTCAGTCGCCTTCTTCATCTCTCTGCATTTTAAGTCCTACGCATACATCTCTTTCCTAGCATGGTGCATACAGGTTATTTTGAGCTTTGGAATTGCTGCCGTCCACCCGAGCTCACGCTTCACTCCACTGCACTTTCCCTGCCATTTTTTTCTTTGAGCAAATACACCTTTACTTTGAAACTGCACGCCGGCAGTGATCCTTTGCAACCACAAAATAACTTATATCCACCATGCTGAGGGCTGTAAAATGCACAGGGCTCATTATATGGTATTCAGTGTAGCTGCTCAAATTCCTCTTGACTCTTGGAGGGCTACCGTGTTTTTGCTGCATGTCCCATTTTACGGTCATCTCATTGGTGCTTATAATGCATTTTGTGCGCCATTGTATGATGTATTTACAATACATCATACAATAGTCATCTCCTCCATTTGTTCATCCATACGTCGCTTCATTCTTCACTCGCCTGTTCTTCAAGGATTGCTTCCATCTAAAAGGCTTAAAGATTGTATAGCAGCTGGTTGAAGACCAAGTAGAATAGTTTTCACAGGTTAATGCTGGTCTGATATTGTGATTGTTGATCGGCATCTGGAAACATTTAATTGTAATAGTGCAAACATTTAGCGTATTTCATATTTTTTTTAACAGATCAAAACTTGAATTATTAATATTCACAAAGATGAAGCCTACATATACATGTAAATAAACATGTTGTAATTTAGGGACATTAATACAAATAATACAAATAATATTAAATAATAATTGACAAGCAGTTTCCAGGTCACTATCATAGGACAAAGTGTCCCACCTACTCGACTGATTGCTAGTGGTTGTTTGTGGCTACAACTTTGGCATCATAGGGTAAAATCAATTACAATGATTTAAATCAATTAGATCAAAATATTACAAAACCAGAGAACTAAATATGCGACGCAGGGATGTGATGCAAATAGACCCTCATTTGAAATGACAATTCAGAGTTAATCTGAGAGAAGCACATTTACTGAAATATGCATGTGGATACAGGGACAATACCAGATAGGCAAATTTCAAAATATAAACCCAGGGTCGCTCTTCGAGGCACAGATTTAAAGTTGGAGTCTTTACGCTGATGGGCATGCTGTGAACAATTAGTTACGGAACAGTGAGCAGGACCAAAAGAGCAGTTTGGCTCATCTCACTCTGGATCCAGCGCTTTTACTTTGGACTTGTCCCGTCCTTTCTGGTCTGAAATTGTAATGGAAAGCAGTGCATTTTGCCACGGATGAACAAGCGTTCTAACACATGTTTGCACCAAAAACTGTCTGCAGCTTTTAACCAAGAGATACCACAAGTCAATGTAGACACAACCTGAATCAGGACCTGATTTATTTCTCCCAAGATAAAGAAATGCACACAATATACAGCACTAACTTTAAGCTAGTGTCAGCTGAATCAGCTCCAAAACTAGATGTGGGCACAGTCACAGAGTTAATTAGGCTTATTATAACTTTCAACAAATGAATCAATCATCATAATCTTCATATATCAACTTAATGATACTCATTTGATATGAATTTATGCAAAAATCATGGAGCACTAGGGACATGCAGATAATATTGCAGTTCCCATCAAAGTTTTTTTTTAAATCCTCAAACTTCTGGGCTGGTAACGTACTAAACAGCAAAGTCTTTACTGTAGCTTGTGATGCTCTCGTGTCTCTCCGTCTGCTCCGTCTCCTGCTCTCAGATCTTTGTCCGGCCGCATCGTCGGCGGAGTGTGGTGGTTCTTCACCCTCATCATCATCTCCTCCTACACGGCCAACCTGGCTGCCTTCCTCACCGTGGAGAGGATGGTCTCTCCCATCGAGGGTGCCGAGGACCTGGCCAAGCAGACAGAGATCGCCTATGGGACGTTAGACTCAGGCTCCACTAAGGAGTTCTTTCGGGTGAGTATCTCAGCTGGCGGTCGTTGCATCGTACGACGAGAGACGCTCAAAATTGTTTTAATGACGGCCAAAAGCTCAGAGCTAATGAAGCCACTGGGGCTTTTTCTCTTAGTTTTGACATATTGCCTGCCAGGTACTAAATTAAAAGAAATATTCAATGATACTATATTTTCCCCTGATACAGCACGTCCATGGTAGGCCACTAGTATTACAATGACACTTTTAAACAGGGGTAGACAGGATTTACAGTATGAATAAACAAAATAATTCTGGCCACAGAATTAACTCCATTAAAAGTTGCATTGTTCTTTTTGTCTCTTTACACTTTTTGGCAACAGATGTAATTCTGCTCCCTCATCCAACCGTCTATGGAGTCATAAACCAACATTTTTATTAGACTCTTCCAATGTGAAGATTCATTCTTAAATCCACCACTCAATTACTGGCAAAGCCAAAGCAAGGGCCCAAACAATTATGTTAAGGTCACACAGTGCATACACTTGTTAGTATAAAAAGCACTATAAAGTTGTGGCCTTAAAAATCCTTAAATATTTAACTTCACTTAGTGTGACCGTCGAGAAAAGCAGGTGACGGATTGTGTAAGCTTGTGTGTCCACAGATGAGTCATTTTGAAGCATTTTGTATCCATTTTCAAAACTTCTCCATCAAATTGAAAATAAGCCGTTCTGACTCTGCTTCTGAATCACTACCAACCTCTCAGCGATTCGTAAAGTTCAACGACAGTTCAGTCCGATCATCACATCACTTCTGTCTGCTTTAATAAACCACAAGATGTCTTGTGTCACCGCAACGCGGTCTCAAAGAAGACCTCCTATTCCTCGGACACGTCCTGCGTCTCTGAGCGTCGTCTATGTGAAGTCCTGCTCGGCCTTGGTGTGAATCCTCTGTGTGAGTCCGGGTCTTTTGATGAACACAAACCCCGTGGAGCCCGTTAGTGTGATCAGTGAAGGTTCCGTGCGTTGGTTGCAGACTGCGCCTCAGCCCGCCGGGAGTCATAAAATCACACACACCGCAATCTCCCCTGAGATTTATGGACTGCTTGAGTAAAGATGCTTAAGTACAGGAGTGGAAGAACAGCTTGTTTCTGTCTGTTGGTTATCTGCTTCATTTCACTATCACAGCTGACACTCTTCCTGGTGAGGACAGTCCGTCCAAACATAGTCAAATAAAAGCATGGATAGCTGTCAGGAGAGCTGGACTCAGGTGTAAAAGCATTGAATTGGAGCGATTAGCGTGATCAGTGTGGAGGAGATCGTCTGTAACCCGATGTCTCATTGCGTTACCTGCGGTAACATTACTCCTGAAAAATGTTGAGAAAAGATTTTATTTAGCGAAGAGAAAAAGAATCCATCGAAGTGCGTCTCGTTAAAGGTTACTGATTATTAAACTCATTGAAAAAGTATTTAAAACCGCATATCTGGAGTGAAAAAGCTCTGTAGAGTTTCTCCTGCTTTTATTTGTAATAATTCAAACCAGACTCCTGTGACTGCAGGGGTATCAGGGATATCGGATATCAACAAACTTTCATATAGCAATATATTAAATAGTTTCTTTCTAAGGCTTCCGGTGACGCTTTGCATTAAAAGCAGCTTCCCTGGACGTGCTTATCCACATTGATTTGTCAAAAGTCTTCCTAGAAAGATTACTGACAGACGTGTAGTGATTTCATCCTGAGATATGCTCCATGCTGACAGATATTCTGCCTTTCTGCCTCCAGACTGGAAATGTTGCCGTTCTGAGCAAACTTTATTTAAATCATGGAGATTGAAAGCTAATGCTTAATAGGAGCTGTGAATCGTTTTTAAGGAAGATAATCTCTAAAGAAAAGCACACAGCCTCCTCAGTACACATTAAACACAGGGATAAGCAACAAGCTCATTTGTATTATTCTCCGGTTTTTATAAAGCCCTCTACTACAAAGCCTTGAATTATAGTTTTACTCAACTTTTATCCTCAACTGCCACAAGTACCACAGATATAAGCATCATATCTGGTTCACGATTAAAGAAAATCCCCTTTTGCTTTCTTGACGGTTATCTTAAACAGTCAATACGATCACGTCTGGACAATGAATATGAAGCAGGAGCTGGTAGAGGATCAGCTTAGCTTAGTTCAGGATGAGGACAAGGAACAGAGGAACGCATCAAAGAATCATCAGCACCTCTGAAGCTCTGCAATGATGAATCCCACCGGCTTTTAAATTACTTCCAGCAAGCTGCTGAGACAACTGTGTTTGTGTGTGTGTGGGTTCATAGAGAGGTGGAAGGGTTGACATTGTGTTGTGTTAGCAGGAGAGGACAAGTTACAAGTAGCTTGTTTTCTTTCCAACAATAAAGTGTGTTTTTAAGCAGCGTCACAGTGATGCTGCTAAATGAGCCACTGTGCTATTACCATTATTCATTCGTTTTCACTGATCGTGAACATTCAGTGAATTTGTTTTAATTACATCCTTCATCATGCACCTAAGGAAGAATTGCGCGCGGATAAAAATAAAACCAGCAGAACGATTGTGCGTGCTTTGTTTGGCCCGTCGTCTCCGTATCTGGATGAGAGCGTGACAGACGCGCGAGGAGGGCCGTGAATCACTCGCAGCCCTCCAGTCAGCTGCAAACACACAAGCTGGTAGATGGAAGAGTTCGAGTCGAGAACTGTTTATTTCCAGAATGATGAGGGGCAGTAAACCCTCGTTCCTCCCTTCGCCCCCGTTCTGTCAGTGAAATGATCGTCGCGGCGTCGCGGTCATTAATATCAATTGATTTATTGAAATGATCTGTCTTTGTTTAGCTGTGACTGCTGTAGTGGGAATTGTATTGACACTGTGGCCACGCCTGTCGTTACCCATCACCGTCATGTTGAGGGTGTTTACACAAACACTCAACTGAACTGAACTCGTGCATATGTCAAGGATGAATCACTTACCAGCCCGAGCCCACAATCCACTACAACCCCGGTGAATTATTTACACAACCAAGGCGACTTAGACGGTCATGCCGCCCTGATGTTTTCACATCCCAGATGTGACGTTGGACTGAACCTACAATCTGGATGAAACCAGTCATGAGAGGGATTTCTGTAATCCGTTATCAAGGACAATACATAGATAAATAAAGCATATTTTAATAGTAATAATAATATTATGATGTTTTGAAAAGTATTCCATTTAAGATTACAAATACACTGTTTGTTCTCAATGAGAAATATTTGAGATCATCAGTGATATGATGAAAATGATCATGATGATCCGAAACCAGACCTCCAGTCTGACGTCAAATGCGCCCGGCCGATGATGAACCTGCGTGTCACGGTCCTGACAAGCGTCCCCTTGAAGACATGTAGAGATGTGAAAACTTTACCCTCCGAGGCGCATCTCTGCAGAAGGTCATCCGAGCCCAGTTTGCAGCAGCTTTGCTCCTCCTCCCCTCTCTTGTAGACAGCCGTGTACGCCGGCTCCCCGGTGACGGGCAATCAGCTTCTCGCTGGCCATTTTTAGCAGCGCACTGAGTGGCGGAGCAGAGCTGCGCGTCTGCAGCTGCTCCGCGGAGCACACAGGTCAAACATGTTAAAGAAAGTGCCGTCGCTGTTAATGAGACAAACTGTGTGATTTGGCTCAATGTCATTCATGAATAATGGAACAACAACAGCTAAATCTTTGGTTTTGCTAATCTTTTTTTTATAGCTCGATTGGTTTTCGATGACTTCGAATAACAGATGAAAGGAAAAACAGTGGCGATGTATGTAACTCTGGAAAAACAATGAAAACAGACATTATTTCAAAAGTCACTTGGATGCAATTGTGAAAAATGTGAACACAATCCGTCAACTGCTTTTCTTAAAGAAACAAACAAAACAACCCACCCAGGTGGTCTCATGTTATAATTAGCATCATAAAATATGAAAAAACAACAATATTTTAGATTCAAATTACACAGATTAAAGTATTTCTAAAGCACAGCAGTCAAATCGATTGAACTGATGACTTGGTGTATTTAAATGGAAATGAAGCCATGGTGATTATGACTCCAGCTGTGACCTGCTGGTGCTACACAAACCGAAGAGGAGGAGGTCACTTCTGTGTGCGGATATTGATATGAAACACGGCCTTCGTTTTGCTTCCACTGAGATGCCAGATTGTCAGACTTCAGGCTGCTGGCAAAGAGCCCAGTGCCTCTGCTGCAGTTTCATTTCATTTTGATGTATTTATTTAAGAATCACAAGGTGCAGAAAATAGTCAATGCACTTCCTGGCCGCGCCCCAATCGGGCGCTTTCGTCATTGTGGACGGGGGCGCGGCCAGGAAGTGCGGCCCCAGCAGAGGTTATCTGCCATGTGACCGGAGACGCTTTAAAGAGTCACACTGACATTTTGGAAAATGTACTTCTCCTTCTGTCTGTGTGGTAGATGAGACGATTGATACCACTCTACACGTGAGAGTGGTATCAATCGTCTCATCCTAACGTTTTCCAAAATGAGCCCATCCTCTTACCCAAAGCGGCTCGTTGTGAATGTTACGCCGGTTGTCGGTTTGGAGTGCATAACTAAACTGTTTCTGTTTCTTCTCTCTGTGCCCTAAAATGCAGCGCTCCAAAATAGCAGTTTATGAGAAAATGTGGTCATACATGAAATCAGCCGAACCCTCAGTATTTGCCAAAACAACACCAGACGGGGTTGCCAGAGTACGAAAGTCGAAGGGCAAGTTCGCCTTTCTACTCGAATCCACAATGAACGAGTACATAGAGCAGCGGAAACCATGTGACACCATGAAAGTGGGCGGCAACCTCGATTCTAAGGGCTATGGTGTGGCCACACCTAAAGGCTCTGCATTAGGGTGGGTGGGATAATATAACAATATCTTCCATGTTGTTATAGTATTCCACCCACCCTGATGTTTCCTTTTGCCATTCTCTTCTTCCTCACTCCTTAATTCTCCTTTTTTTCCTCCAAGTGCATCAATGAGTGAACAGTGTTATGAGTTCATTTAACACGCTGAGACATTTTCTGTTCTGTCCTATCTATCTGGTTTGTGTGTTTGTTTCCTTCTTTCTCTCAAGGTTGTCGGTATATTATTCACTATCACTTAATTCATTTGAATGTCGGTGTGTCACCTTTTCCCGACCTTTGTTTGTTTTGCCCATCGACCTTTCCTCTCTCCTGGTTTCTGTGGTGCCCTTTCGCATTGTTTCCTGCTAGTTACAATGCTGGTGTGTCAGTTGTGATGAATGTTGAGCTGCATGCTGGATGTTCTTATTTCTAATTCAGCGACGACAGAATGTCCCCATCCCGCACACGTCAGTTACACGCGATGTAACCCTCCATGCCACCGCACTAATATTTACCATGTTCTTTGCTGTAACAATGCTTCTTACCTTCCAACACCAGTGAAATTCTTTACCAATTTGTCCCTTCCGTGCTCCCCTTATGAACCATTGATATTTACTACAATTTTTTTTACTAATATTCTATATTAGATTTCTCACGGACCTGTTCATTTTCTTACAAGCTATGTTTTATCGTTTCAAGAAATGCTGTTAACCTGGCAGTGTTAAAACTGAATGAGCAAGGCCTCTTGGACAAATTGAAAAACAAATGGTGGTACGACAAGGGAGAGTGCGGCAGCGGGGGAGGTGACTCTAAGGTCAGCCTCAATGTCACCAAAGTCGGGTATCCTAGAACAGAGTAATCGGCAAGGCTGGCGTCACACTGACTGAAGTATCTGGACCCAAATATCTGATAATGAGTTACAGATCAATAGGTTTGATTTTACATTTGTGCAACAGTGATCAACTGGGAACCCTTTACTTGGCTAATAGAGGAAGGAAAAAAGCAAGATAGCGTGAGATAAAGCAAAGTGCAGGAGTACAAAAGAAGATTAGATTATTAGTAATTGTTCTCTATATTTTTTGGCCTGTAGTTATAAAAGGCAGAAACCTTTCTTTCCCTCTGCTTTTTATTCCTACAGGTCAATATACGCTTCCTATATCTTAGTCGACTAGCAGACAATCTCCAAATCAAACAATATAGTTTACGACCTGTGCGATCCGCCGCCTGGGTGTTAGGGCAGGCACGGGAAACAGCGTTGTCTTGAGGGGACTAAGCATCGCAGGCGAACGTGAGAATTCTAATGACAGACTGACAACTAACGGTCCACACTTTTTTGTCCAACATCCTTTTCATCGAAATCCAGCGTAAGACAGAACCTTTGGTTGGTCTTGATCCAAGGCCAGTCAAAGTCTATCCATGGCCACCCTGACCTGGTAAACCCTGCAGTAATAGAGTGTATAGATATTACCAGGGGCTCCATTTGTACAAGACGATTTGAATTGAATCTCACTTTTATAAAAAATAAAAGATGGTGTACAATACACATATGTAATAATTATGTAAAGATGCATTCCGACCTTAAAGTTGGACAATGTTGATTTTGCTAAGTAGCATCCACTGTGGCCACACGTGACCATCACAGGACAATTGTGTGTTACATTTTCTGGTGTGTTTTACTTCTTGTTTTAATTTTTTTGTTCATTTTTGACATTCTGATGTGGGTCACACATATTATTTAAAGTTTGCCACCATTATCTCCTGGTCGTAGCCGACTAAATGAGGTTGCAGTAAATACCAAATATTGAAGTGGGGCTGACATTCATTTGTTTTAAATTAAACTTTTAATTTGTTTAATTTTTCCTCCATACAAAATCACATAGTGATTAACATTAAATGTTGTAATTTATTATTGTTGTAAAACCTTTCCTACTATTTCCTTCTCTACATCAATATAGAACTGTGCACATCAGGCTCAGCTCTGCAGACCGCTGGGACCCTTTTCTGATGAGAATTTTTTCAATCAAATCTGTTGTACAACCTTTTTTTATAAATGAGGCCCCTGATATGTTTATTTCAGGGCACAATAATAGCCCTACACTGTGAGTGCATCTCTGCCTCTGCTCTCCAGCTTGCACAGTGACCACAGTACACTCGGCATATTGCGAGAGAAGAGACGGGGGGGAAAACTTTGCTGATATTGACTGTAGTCATCCATCCCTGAGTGAGCGGGACATGGATGCTACCGGTGGGATAACACAAAGAAGCTGTCCCCTCTCTCTGGCAATTTGCCTCGATCCTTTGATTGAGGAGAGAGTAAATGATCAGTGTAACACCATCACTGACTGACTACCACATTTCTTTGTCCTTATTTCACTTTCAGAAACGCAGGTGTGAGTAATTACACAATGAGATGGAAATATATTGTATGTAACTACCACTGAGAAAATATGACATCCACGGCATAACATTAAATCAATGTTATGTTATTAATTGGCTGCTGAAATTAAATTCAGCAATCACATATATATGTATAGAAGAAATCAATGAGAGCAAGAAAAACTCCAGACAGAACCACAAGTCACAAATCTACAACTGTTTCATCAAAACACATCGGTTTCTGTTCAAACTGTATGATGTTTATTCCATTTGACATCATACAGTATGTGATTTATGTTTTAATTGGGCCCTCAATAAGGTGCATGTGTTTTTTTTTATACGTTCATTATTCTTTGTGTTTTTAGAGGCTGTTTTCTTCTTTTGCAGACAGACTAAAGGGGGAAGTTTTGATGTGATTTATATCAGATGGAGAGAAGGTTAAGTCTAAACTTACAACTTTGTGAAGCCCACAGGTCCCATAACATGCCATTAAAATACTGCAACAACACAAACTACAACATCAAAGTATTACTGTGAAGGTGAATCAATACATGTAAATGTATACACATCAAACACTGGATGTTGCATTTTATTTTGCGTCAGCACAGTCCCTGATATCATGTCCACCTCTTGTTCTTAATCAGTTTGAGATTCATAGATTATGGTTAAGTAGCTTATGACAACCAGCCTGAGCATATATATTTAGATCAGACATCTCTTTTAAAGGTTCGCCGCGATGGAAATCAAATTTTCTTAGGTCACGTAAGTTAAGTTTAGTTTAGTTAAGTTAGACATTTTTAGTCAGTCTTATCTCTCAACATTCTTTCGTTTACAAATGTTGCTCTACAAATTTATTTGGAAGGGGAACAGATGTAGATTTTCAAAGTGTTCTCCCTGTTTCTACCTTTTTGTGTTTTTTGTACTATTTTAGATCGTAAATATTTTTACTAAATGTACTTCATGTTGTTGTCATCCCAACCGCTGCTATAATTTGTTTCTGTGCATAATGTTGGACAACATTCTGTTTTATTTAGGTTTTTCAGATTAGAAAAGGAATAGAGAAATATTTGAGTGTTTCTGAAGTGTTGCTGATGCTCGTATTATTTAGAAGTCCGTGGCCACCACCTGGTGGTGGATGGGAGACCTTTATCTGATGACCAGCAGCTTAGAAAATCTCCATTTATAATTTGTAATACTAATAAAAGGCCGGTCAGTAAAGTAGATCCCCCCTCCCCACACTGCTGTGGGACGGACACTTTTACAGAGTACCGTGTGTAGGACTATGACTGCACTGAGCTTGAGTTATTGAGCGTAACAGCCAGTAAGATCTAAGTTGGTGCTCAAATCGCTCCCTCCTCTCTGCCAAAAGGCAGAAACTGCAGAACTGACGAGGCTGAATCGGTCAAATTATAGTTTCATGATACGCTTTCATTCATGGATCGAAGTCTCTACTTTGAAACAGTAACAAAATCCTCATTATTTGACCCTCTAAAGAACTCTGATTGGAGAACAGGACGGCAGATCATCCATCAACCATCATTGTCTTGCTTGTTAGAGTTACGCTTTTTATTTTTGGTATAAATAATAAGAAAACATAATTTCCTATTATTTTGTACACTCAAAGGAGACAGTGGTGAATACAATATATTTTATGATGTTGGATTACAAACACTGATCTTACTTCTGAAAGGAAATACGCCTGGAAATGTGTCCGTCAAGGAAATTGAACATAATGTCTTGCAAAACCAAATAACCCAAATGACTCCCCTCATCCAGGATTTGGTTCAGAGACTCTAAAACCCACATTGTCTTGACCTCATCTGGCTCCTAACAAAGACTCCCGTAGCCTTGTTTCTCTGTGTGACATTAGCCAATAGCTTTTAATGAAATTGGAATGATTTTTAAATGAAATGAATTAGCCTGTTACTCAAGAAAGGGTTCCTGTTAGATCCACCTTGCTAAACATCAAAAAGGCCGCCATAGCAACACGGCCCTCAGCAATTACTGCCTGTGTTTTCTTTTTTTCTTTGAAAGCTATGCAGCAGCTGCTTTATATTGCAAGTTGAAATCTTTTCTCCTCTTGTGATCAGTGTGTGCCGATTACTCAAAGCGATACAGGTGGGGTCTGGTATGCTAGGGTAGTCATGGATTATGAAAGGTCATATATTTACAAATATATATTTATATATACTGTAGTGTTGCTTGCTATCTGTGATGTGTTGGCCAGGACCCTACTCTATCGCTTTGTACAGTATAAAGTAGTTTTAAAAGTTTAATAACATAAAATAACATAATAAAATGTTATTTATGTTATTTCCCACGTGAAGAACTCCTGTAAACCTTGCAGTATTGAAACTCAGTGAACAAGGCATCTTAGACAAGCTGAAAAACAAATGGTGGTACGATAAGGGTGAATGTGGAACCAAGGACTCTGGAAGTAAGGTCAGTCGCTGCAGGTCTTTTTATACTGATTGAAAAGTGCATTTTGACCTAAATGTTCATATGCAAACATCCAAAGCAAATATATATACATATACATATATGCATATATATATATATATATATATATTTACTCCCACACACATTGATCAGGATATATCTGAACACTTCTAGAATAGCATGTGGAAAACTAGAAACTATACATATTTCATACGTACTCTAACTTCTTGACACTTTGATCATTATTCATGACATCAACATGACTTCATTTCTACTGTACGTAGACAGATCAGGATTTTAAAAAATTGCAGCATGATCACACAATTTTTATTCATACCATCAAATTTTAAAAAGTTGAATCCTAGAATTGAAACCATTATACTGCTATTTCGTCATCCAACTACTTATTTAAATTTAGTTTATTGTTGAAGTTGATCATTTGTATGCCATCTGTATATTAACTAACCCTAACCCTAACCCACTAGCCAGTTTTATCCGTCTACTGAAAACATCCAAAAGGACCATTAAATACCATCTGAGCACAAGTTGTCAAATAGTGTTAAAAAGTCATGTACTTGGAGTGATAAGAGTAAGGAACTTTTCATTTTACATCTTTAATTAAGGTAAAGATGTTCATAAGCTATTGACTTTTGAAATTTTTCATTTTGTCCCTTTAGAATTACCAAATGCCCCCCCGATGGTTAGCATACAAATGGTAAAACTCACATAAATTAATTTTAATTTATCAGATTGGCTTTTAATAGCAGCAAAATGGTTGAATTCACCCACCCCCCCCCCCCCCCCCCCCACCCCACCCCCTCACAGTTTGCCTCTTTGATTGTACAAATGCAGTGTGTTCTAGTTGAGCAGCTATAGTGAATCTGTAGACCTGTACGACCACGACCACCTTCCTCTAGACACGGTCCTGTAAAGAGACCGTGAGGCAGGACAGATAGCGACCCCGTCGACATTCACCTTCCCAGCTCCGCAGCGTTAAAAGTCCTTCATGATCATCTCCCATCTGTATCTCAGAGGGTTTTGTAGCTCAGCGGCCTCCTCTCGTGTAGTCGTAGTGTAGCGGGATGTGTATTGTGTTGGTGTGGGGAGGGGGGAGGGGGGGTGTACAGGCTTGTTTTGTACGTTAGCCAGTTAAAGGAGTCTTAACGGTGGTCCTTACCTCCCCCAGGACAAGACAAGTGCACTAAGCCTGAGCAACGTGGCAGGAGTCTTCTATATTCTGGTCGGAGGGCTCGGCCTGGCAATGACTGTGGCTCTGATAGAGTTCTGCTATAAGTCACGGCAAGAAACCAAAAGACTGAAGCTGGCAAAGAATGCCCAGGACTTTAAGCCAGCCCCTCCGGCAAACACCCAGAATTTTGCCACGTACCGTGAAGGCTACAACGTGTACGGGACAGAGAGTGTCAAGATCTAACGGGTATGTGCTGCTTTACACGTGTGAGTCCGATCAGAACATCTGGGATCTTAATCGTGGCGTTTTGAGTAAATCCAGGGAAATACATTCAGCGATTACAAACCTGAAGGCACAGTAAGTACGATGTAGACAGTGACCTTCAAGTAGGGATAGGAAGATATACGATATATATATTAGAAAACATACATTAAACAGAGGATTTAAAGCTATTTGTTTTTTAATATAGTATTATAGTATTGTATTGTTTACAACAGCTGAGCCGCCATATAAATCCAATAATATCTCATTTGAAACGAATCAAATCAAAAATATCCGTAAAGTTTCTTTTAAATTCTTTTAAAGACGCCCATGAAGAAGGAAGAGCTCATCAGGTGGTGTCAGTAATTCGTTCTGTCTTCATTGTTACAGACAGTAGAGAAGTTTGCCAGAACAAACTTCAGCTAAACAGAAAGACAACTTGAAGTCAGCTTTTCTTTCAGCTTGCTTGTAGTTCAGTACACGTCACCTCTACTGTGGCAGAAAGTTGCTGTTTCTCTGTGTTTCTCTCATCGTTGTTTCTTTTCATAATATTGAAAACTATCAATCAACTGTCATGACGGTTGGTATCAAATTCAATCCACGTGTGGGTCGGTGTAACTCAGAAGTGCAGCGATATTCATTCCCCTGGTTTGCTCATGAGAGGACTTTGCATGTAATATTCAACACTTTTCTATGGCAGTAGTTGAACTTGTGTTTTTCAGTTGACCAAAAGAATAATGACAGCTTTTGAATCTGATCCTCATCCTTTGCACATCTTTTTTTCTTTCGCAGAGGTGAAACATTGTTGACTCCTACTGGTTTGAAATAGCAACTGTGTGTGACCCTGACACCCCGAGGCCGGCATCCTGGAGGCGACGGCCTCCTCTGTCATCAGCTCGGACAAAAAAAAGCCTACAAGTGAACAAGTGCTCATTCGGGTTGTTTGTGAGGCCCATCATCACACTAGCGGAGGGCAATGTTGCAACGGGACTTTTGCTTCTGGAAACATAAGATTTGCCTCTTGTAGTGCCTTATGGAGCATTTCGGCGTCATGGCAATGCAATCTAAATTGAATTCACTTGAAAAAAAATGATGTAAACAAAAGATTCGTGGAACTATAGGGCAAAACAGTGCTTCAAATGAGAATTAGATGAGCTGCTGTAATATCAGTTGTTTTCTATGTTGATGAAGAAAAAAAAGCCATGATTTGCAATCAAAACATCCTGTAATAGTTATTAAGTCATTTTAATACTTTACAGGCATATTTCTGTGGTGGAATATTAAGTTAGATAAATGTTATATTTAGTGAAGTAAAGTCATTTTTCTCGTTTTACTATGACTATTTTCAGTTTCATAATATTTAGGACAAGCATCAATCACTTAGGTAAAGCATCGATGAAAGTGACATTGTACCAGTTTTAAGTCAGAAAACATCGCGATTATGAATTGAGTTCTCTGCTTAGGTGGTGATTTTTTTCTGAGCCTGTTGGACGATATATTCAACAGACTGAAATGCTTCTTTCAAATCAACCCTGTGAGAATACATTTTTTTCAACTGCCACAATTTGGAACCAAGTCGTTTTTTTCATTGAATTAAGGGTCTGCTTTTAATCACTTAGTGCCATATTCTTGAATCAAAAACATTATAAATACCCCCTTTTTATGTGATAGATTATTGAAATGGTTTAACTGAGCTTTACTCACTTAGAAGAAGTTCTCATGTAAATGCAGTATCTGCAGCTGTGAATCTCAAATCATTTTGGTAAACGATAACGCACATAGCTTCTTTGGTTGTAATAAGCTTTCTGTGTCTATGCATTAGGCAGAACGTGAACTGTACATCGGGGGAAGAGCTACAAATGAAACGTTTGTCTGTTTGTACGAGTTCACTTTTTATAAACGGAACGAAAAAATCCTACAAAAGCTACAAACCCTGTACGCCTACGTTTGTTTAATAAATCAAGACTAGTACCACATCCTTTTCTCCCCAGATAAAGTGCATGTGCATTTGGTGATTGTTTGACCAAACTGCAACTTGAAATGGACCCCGGTTTAGTTAAAGGCCCCACAACGGCATTTGATCCAGTTTGTTTTAATTCATCCCTGTTCATTTGTGACGGTACCTCAACCATGAGAGTTGCATGTGTGGACACAATGAACCTCCACGGAGAGGTCATGTACAAAGGATTTTATTACATTTCCTTAATAAAAGCAGGTTTATATTCACCCTTTTGCACTTTTCATCATTTGTAAACAATCATTTTCTGATGCAGGTTATACATGACTTACTACACTGTTTAGTATAAAGACTTCCACAAAGAATTAAGAAACTGGACTTTTCTCTCATGTTATTACAGAATCCCGTTCACATCCATATCTGTACGAAGGATTCATTCAAATGCGGAGAAATTCACATTAACATGTATTTTAGTGAATGAGTATATAAAATACGTGTGAGCAAATAAACAGATTAATTTATCATTGCATTTTCAAAAGTCATGGTATCGTTTTTAAGTAAAAGTAATATAAAAATATAGTATATAAAAAATGTCAATACAAAAGTTATCAGTAAGTCATGACAAATGTTGAAAAAAATACTTGAAATTGTCAAGAGTACAGCATTTTTTTTAAAAGTCAACATATTGCTACAACCTGGCTCAAACGCTGCAACAAGGATGAGTCAAAATGAATAAATCCACATTTATTTATTATTCATTACATTACTAATATAAAGAAGAAAAAAAAGGATCAGATGACTAGCAACCTGAAAGACAGAAAGGACCCCCCCGGAAGGCTTCAAATCAAAAGGATTTTTAATAAGCAATGAGTGTAATGGGTATAAATAATGGGAAGGCTGTTCGAGGCTGTGACACCAAAGTCCTGATTAAGAGAAAAGAAAAAGCATCTCGTTGTTCATCATTTCAAACACTGGAGCAGTAACCCAATCTGTATACACCTGCAAGGTCTTAAAAACTGCAAAGATCCAAAGTAAAAATATAACCAGACTCTCCAAGGGATGACGATGTGGTTGTTTGCATGGTAACTGGGAGTTGTGTGTGGGGGCTAAAGGAGAGAATCTGTTGGAATGGACGGTAATGAGGGGGTTATTGCCATAGAGAAGTAACAGCCTGTGTGTGACGGCGTGGAGCAATTTGAGAAGAAACGCCAGCATGCAGCTTCCAGTGGTCTACGATAGGAAAAGAAAGTGATTTGAAACGCTCGTTCGCGCCGTGTAGAAACAAAGAAAGAAGGAGACAATATCAAAGTGACACACTAGGAAAACTATCATTTATTGTTTTGTTTTTTTCTTTTGTTTAAAAAAAAAAAAAGCTTACACTCATTGAGTACAGCAGATAAAAACTCCAAAAGTCATTTCGAAACAGTTGTATTTGGAGTACAGTGTGAGATTTTTTTGTCAAATTTTTCTTTACAATTCTACATTTGAGTCAAGGTTGAACTGGCATTTTTATAAATTATGTAAAAACTTGATCAACACAAAATCACAAAAGGACTGTGTGGGACATCAAAAAGAAAAAGAAAAAAGAAATAACATGATGTGAATTTCATGTTACCCTCTTTATTATTGTACACAATATACAAACTGGTCCTTTGTATCACTTAACTCACTTTTGTCTACTGACTTACTCGGATTAAAAGGTGGAGATAAATAAATAAAAAGTATCTAAGTATCTCAAGAGGGGATATGAGGTAAGTGAGTATGGAAAGCATGTTAACTCCAATAAAACCAGCAAAAGCAAAGCCTGACAACATACAAAAAATACTTTTTTTTCAAGCATGAGATTATTGAATCCACGACCAGGTGTTGACCAAGTGACCATTTCATACAGTAACCTATTTTCCAATTAGAATAATGACATTGTGATCAGAGCAGCATACTGAAGAAACAAAAAAAAAACATTTCGGTTGGTTTACTGTATAGTGAGAAGTTGCCATAACTACAGCTAACAACACCTGGGAGGGGGGCGTTTACAGCAAAACAACACGGGCAGAAATGAGAGGAGGACTTGACAACACAGCACAGAGATGGAGTTGCAGATGTCTTGCAGATAAAAAAGAAGAAGAAAAAAATACAGCTCCTCCAGTTCTGCTGTAGATCAGAGAGGAGAGAAAGTGTGATATACCACGTTGGCGTTGCATCGACAGATGTTAACAAAGAAGTAGAATGCGTCTTACCTTCACTGATTAGTGCACATTATCTGTGCTTGTCAGAGGATTTATGGGTATGATTGTTAAGGGAAGTGGGAAATTAATCAAAGACCGAACGCTGACGAGTGGAAATTGTCCCTTCACAAACAAAACTCTGTTTTTGTCAGAGAAGAGGAACGAGCCTCAAAGCAGCCAGATGTGATCGGCTGTGATGTCAGAGGGCGGGACCTGAGTCGGCAGCATGATCGCTCTTTTCTTACATTTCACAAAATGAGGAAACAAATGCTTGTTGGGAGAGCGAGTGAGAGAGCAGCGTTTGCTCTTCGAGATGTCTGAATGACATCACAAGATCCAATTCAAGAGAAATGATTGGAACAGTTTGACGTGTTTTCTCAGCATTGTCAGCTCTGCCCCTCAAGAAAACGGTGATTTTTAAGAAAAAGCTGGTACTCTTAATACTTTTTTAGGCAAGAAAGTACATTTATATTCCAAATATGTGACCAGTTTTTCTTATAATAATCCTACTTGAAAGATTCCGCCAACGTTTTAGGATTTGCTGGCCGTGTGAGATAAAAAGCACCAAGACGTAGTTTTTGTAATTAATCTCACTGTCAGAACGGGTAGATAAAAAGGTCAGCAGTGCGTCTGTGTGGAAGAACAGCAATAATAAATTGATTCAAGAACTACCAATCCAGCGAGCAGAGAGACAGGCGGGTTTAATCTGCTCTCTAAATTAACTAACAGATACTTATAGATTTCAACTTGCAGGACTTTATCAGCGATTCTGGCAGTGAGAGTAATTACTTGTGTGTGCTTCTGTAAGCACATTCAAAGGGACAGATAACCGATGCACTTTGGATCTTTTGTAGCTCCTCGTACTGAGGCCATCTACACAATATTAAAAAAATCGTCCTCATATGCGATTTCAGGCCTTTCATTTGACGTCCTCGCAGTCACTGAGGACTGCGGATGTGGCCGCGCAAACTGCTCCGATCATGTGTTTCATCATCAGTGATCATTGTGTGTCCTCTGTGTAGCTGTTGGATGTGTAACACGTGTTGAAACGCCAGTGTTTATATAAAACCTCACGGCTCAGTGATGACGGCAAAACGCGGGCTCAAGCTAAGCAGGAAACCCCAGATGATCTCGTGCAGCAATGACGTTACAGAAATACAATTGCGAAAGTAATGAAACCTTGAAATATTTAAATAGTCACACTAAGCAGTAAAACTCACCCGGAATTTTGATTTACGTGTCACTCTACGTTTAAGGATATTGCTTTTTCTCTTCTTTTCCTCCGCTGCTGTCCCTCTTCTCCTTCTTTTCAGATTTCTCTTTGTCGTGTCTGGACTCCTGTTGCAACACAAAGTACAAACATTTAGCACTAAATTATGTCTAAATCTATTATTCAAACAGCGAAAAGAGACATTGCAACTAAAGTGTCGAGGGACAGGAGGACTAAAGTAAAGATCAGGTTGCCAACAAAGAGATGAGGACACAGGGTCACTCTGGTGCATCTGACCTTTTTGCCTCCGGAGGAAGTCCGCTCGGGTTTCACAGACTCGGCCTTCTCTTTGCTGGAGGACTTGGGCCTCTTGATCTTCTCCTTTTCGGCTGAAAGCGGAGAGTCACAGGAAGGACTCGTGCTCTTGCTGTTTTTGGAGGAATCTGAGAAGAGAAAGCCGAGCGCGTTGTCAGTTAAGCTGTACTGGCTGGAGGGAGCGGCTTTGTCAGGCGAGAACAAAAAAACAACAAAAAAGAAAGCCCCATACTCATTCCGTTCTCATCCTTCCGACGTTTGGACTCCAGGCTCGTCTCAAGCTCGTTGAGAGCATCCTAAAAGAGAAACAACGCGACAATCAGAATCTCAGTGGTGGTCACAAAGAAGCCTGACTGGTTTTAGAGCATACATGAAAACATTGAGCCTATTCCTTGTTGCTTCCTTAAGTCCAATATAAATGCTTTAAGCCCAAGACTTAAAATTCTAATTGAGGACGCTTCCAAAAACCCAATTCAAAGTGCAGTGGTCTTGTTAAATACTGACTCTCTTCCTTTCTTTACGATCCTTTTCTTCCTTCTTCTCTTTGGATCGTGTGTTGTCTGAATCTTTCTTCTCCATCTCCCTCTCTCTGCTCTTCGACCGGGTAACTGAATTGTAGTTGGCGTGGTGCTGTAAAGGCAATTACAAATGAACCGAACAAGACAAAACCGATATTGGTGCGCTGTCAGGACTGAAGACAAATAAAAAAGACAAATAAACCAACATGATTAAAGTGGAAACTAACTACTGAAATTTGAACCGTGTGGATCCGAACAGTTAATGAATATTGACAGATAACATCCATTAGTAGTCATCGCTTAATGAGATTGGAAATCCTTAAGAAAAAAACAGAAGATATTTAAGCACAAACTTGCTTGCTGCAGTTCCTTGTGTCCAAACTAATTTGATTTAACAAACATCACAGTCCAACTGGTGCTGCTGCTACTGCAGGACTATTGATAACGTCCAGTGAAAGCAGGACTCAACAGGGAAGCAGATGGACGACAACTTTTGGCTCAGGTTGACAATATCTGGAAATAATCTTCCATAAACAGTGGGAAACACTTAAGTCATGTTGTAAAATCTGACCCCCACAGTTTTCAAAGTAGCCCATGTGTCATTGTGTTACAACAGCGAATCACAAAGACACTCACAGGAATGAACGTGTCGGCTACAGATGTGCAGCGATGACACAAACACACCCACATACACGGATGCCTCCAAACCATATACTTTTTTTTTTGTTAGTTTAGGTTAGTTAATTGAAAATCTGTCAGCTTGTGTAACCAACAAGTATTCATAGACATAACCTAAACAAAATGAGACCTACAACAGTTTGGCGATCATGAAATACCTGCTGCAATCTGGGCCTAAATTATGCCAAAACATTAACATTTAAGCAATGCTACTCAAATATGTTTTATAAAGGACAAGTCTCCTTATTACAAGGTGGGAGAAGATGGAAGAAAAACACAGATATCTAAAATGGTTCATTTGTCAGCACATCAACAAAGAAAAC